TCACCTTTGTATTCCTTCTGCTATGGTAGTGGTATCTTTTACCGGTGTCCTTGCTTTCAGGACATTTTCTGTAACTAACCACTAATGAATGAGAAATTGATTTCCAGAACATGGTCCCTGGGGAATTTCTGTACAGGAAGTCTGAATATGGCTATATATGGAATTTTGTCCCTGATTAGAAGCTGTAAGTGCAAAAGGCTAAGATCAAATGGTTGTTTAATAAAACTAACAGTGCTTCCATGTTCAGGCTGCCAAAGCTTTAGATTACAGCACTGTGCTTCATAACTGTACTTCATAACTATTATTTGGCAGTTGCAGCTTCCTGTTAAGCATCATGTCCCTTATGAAACGTAGATTATTATTATTTATCAATTCCAACATGCTATGGATCTCCTTTGCATAAAAATATGGAAGCTGCCATAATCTGATACTCCTTTGCTGTCACACTTTAAATGGGGCTGCTTAATTGCCTAATTGGGAATTTTGGTGTGCACTATTTTTGATATGAAAGTCTTCAGTTTTTAATTCAGCTCTTCTGTTCTTCATTGACCTTCCCTCTATTTGGGTTCTAAGTTAGTAAGGTTTCCTCTGACACTGCACACAGAAAGGGAAGAAAATAATTAAGATTAAGGATTTCATTCTCTTTCACAGACTGTAGCACTTCGATGCTGTTACATGTTTTGTGACTTCCCCCTTGAATTCTTTCCTCTGCAGTCAAACATCCTCCAAGGCATTCGATAATTTTAGATCATCTAACAGAAATGTCAGTTTTAGACCCAAGGCCTGTACCTCTACAAGTATTTTATGTTAGGCCAAATAAGGATGTCTTTATAAAAAGGACAAAATTTGTAGCTCTTGAATTGCACAACTCAGTAATACAGCCTTTCCTTTGAATCTAGCATGCTCAGAAGAACAAGATTTAGAGACAGGCTGGGACACAAGATGTACTTAGCACAACTCAGTAGAAGCAATTCATTGAAATGAAGCAGTCAGTCCTGAGGACTGTAAGGTTTGTTGGGGCAGTGCTTTGGGTTAGGTTTGCTCCTTTGACCAATTGCCTTTTGCAGCTGGATCCCCACTAGGTGATCTTTAGGAATATATATTGCCATTCAGTCCATCGTGCCCTCACAGATGTCTGCAGAGCATGAGTGCAAGCATGATGCATGGGAATGGTTGGGAGATAAGCTTTGTAAACACACTCCTAAGCCCAATCACAGCTGCATTATTTGTGCAGTGTATCAAGCGCATCAAATGACCCACAGTATGCACACAACCCTGGCATTAGTAGAAGGAACCAACAGAGAGGGATGAGGGTGCTCCCATTTAGCTGCATCCATGTCTGACTGTTGGTTCAGCATGACTGAAACATGCAAAACTGATACCCAAAATGCTTTGATTCGACTCATTCCTAGAGCTTACTCTCTTCAGTGCTGTTGCTTAGGAGTGAGCCATGCGTTTTTCTTTCTCTATTCTGTCTTTTTTTACAAATAAGCTTCTTTCCTGCATTTCTGAGTAAAGTCCTAGTGCATATCTGGATTGGATCAATAACACTAATTCAAGACCTTATTTACTAACTGCTACTCAGCAGATCCCCTCTTACAGATTTGTCTTTAAGAGCTTTGTAGAATCACCAAATCACGTAGACATTCATGACAGCTTCTTCAGAATAAGTATTCTATATTTTCCCAGAGGAGCAGAACAAAGAAAATAGCACTGCAATAACAGGAAGTTTACACACATATTAATTATCCTTAAATCAATCGCTTTTCCTTGCTCGGGTAGGTAAGGATTGCTTGTTTCAAAGCACCCCCTTGTGCAGGCACTTGGTAACACAAGTTGTACAAGAAGTTTCTGTCTCCCTGACATCTTGATCCCTGGATCAAGATCTGCATTTTCCGACTTACCCACCCTGCTTCATCTGCCACAGAGGTCTTTTGCTCAGTGGTTCATGTCCAAAGATCTGCTGAGGTTGCAAATTGTTGAACCTGATCAAACTGGTATAATATGGATGGAGATAGTCCTCAGACTATAGGTTCCCGCTGTTGTCCACTAGTAAAATATAATTCTTTGAAAATCTGGTATAAGCATGGGTAAAGTCCAACTGAAATTAATCAATATGAGTCTTTATCATATGCATTAACAGAAATTTCTTACGCTGTTGATAAGATTTTTATAGATACTAGTCGTCGTAGTAAAGAGCAGCCTGAAAAATTAAAGGCTGCAGACTTGACTCTTCCAAATTGGCTAGTGACTTCAGTCACCTAATTCTGGTCTGTCCACCTTGAGATGACTTTATAGAAAAGTAGCTTTTGAAACCTGACCTTTTTCCAAATTTCAGGCTCCTCTGGCAGCRTCATAAATTGGGGAGCACAGGTAGGAAAACTCTCAAAGTCTTTAGTAACTCTGGAAAATCTTGTTGATACAATGTAAAATTATTTATATTTAAAATTATTTATATCATCTCTTCAAAGCCAGTGATAGCTGTATGTTTCACTTGTCTTAAATCTAATATTTACATCCATTCATTGGGCAATCTCTGTCGATGGTAATGTCCAGATGAGCCATTTCTTTGTAGAGATAGTGCAGTTTTATTGGGAAAAATAATGCATTCCTTTTCGTTTTTTCAAATTTGAATTTTGAAGTGGTTTTGTAAATGTCCAGATTTTGTGCACCCCAGTTTTTTTCCTTTTAGTGCTTATGCTTTGTTTAATAAAAAAGTGAAGCATATTTTCTCTGAAGAGATAAATAAGGTATTCTGCATTATTGTTGATGTCTCAGATATTAATTCGATGATCACTTAATTGCATCACAAGAGCTGTTGGGTGAAATTAAATTACAGACAGATGAGAGCAGACAATGCATTCTAAAAAAGAAGCTGAGATACCTGCAAGTGTTCCAAATGTTCCCCAAGGTACCCTACATTGTTCATGCTCCAGAGAACCGAGGCAGCAGTGCCAGAAAACCACTTGATACAACACTTTAAGCACAAAAGCATCTAAATTCACTACCTACACAAGCTTTTTCATCAGCAGGATGCATATGTGTTTATCCTATTAATGCCTATGTTCCGTCTCCTCAATCCATTGGTTCTCGCATTTTACCTACACTTGATGTGTTCCCTTCTCTTACCTCACACAGAGGCATCCTGCTGGCAGAACCCCATCTGTATTCTTGCTCCTCCCCATATTCATGCCTCAGGCACTGCTGACAAATCAGTGAGATGAAAAGCTGATAATTTTGCACGTCATTCATTTCCTTTTGGCATAACTTCTGTGGATTATATTAGCTGTAGCGTTATGTAAATACTGTTTCAGGTGCTAAATTTCTAAGTATACATGTGAAATTTAGAACTGGAGTAGAGCACATAGTTCTTGTGAGAGATGATGGTTCTACATATGTGAGTGCTGGGTGGAAAAAAAAAAGTAGGAGAGTCAGTTGTGCTACAAAATTTACTACACCAGGTTCAAAGACAAAATTAAATACTAAAGGATGAAATACACATTCTAAGTTGTGATAAGTCTAATGCAGATCTAATGCATTTTTAACTGCAGAATTGCTGCTGCTAACTTTGTAAAATACATTCCATAAACAGCTGTTACTCTGTTCACCATTTTTCTCTTACCATTCATTTGTTTAGTAATCAGTTCTCATTTGTTCTACATATGTTACAGATTCCATTTTATAGCAGCTGCTTTTAATGAACAACTGGAGGCATAAAATATTGCAGAAACTATTGTTCAACTTTTCTGCATTTTTATCTGTCATTAAGGTTATTTGAATAAAAGTTAGAAAAAAGTTCATTAAATATAGAGTAAAGAAGCTGTAGGTGCTCTGTGGTCTTCCTGAACTGGTCATTTGTAGTGGAAGTTCCAGAGTCTATGCTTTGCACTCCTCTTAGCTCTTTTAGGCAGTTAATTTTCTCTATTTATACTGTCCATTCCCTTTTGTGATTCACTGACACCAACTGTCAAATTTGATTCACTTTTTTGCTTTGCTATGTATCATATTAGAGACCTTTAGGTAATGTGTTGAGTATCTTTCAGACCGACTGAGTGCATTTCAAGATTTTTAGAAAATGACAGTTTACAGGATTTAAAATTTTGTCAGGCGTTCTGGTTAAATGTGGGAATCAGTGGTCATTCAGGCTGATTTGTCTGCAGATAATTGCCTTCTGGAGTACTTGCGTTTTAGTGTCATCTTAATTGTTTTTTTCCAAAAATTCTGATCTTTAACAAGAATATTTTATCCTAGTAGGTGTTCTCTCTTATTTATTCATGCTTCAGCTGTGTTCTACATACTGAACTGAATGAAAAAATGTAACACAATCTTTTGTTTATAGGAAAGGATAGGTGAGAATATAGGTGTGTGCTCAAACTTTACTAGTGTTAAGGGCATGGTGCTGAATAGGGCGAGTGCCCGTGGATTGGACAGCCCTTGGTCAGCTTTCACTGGTGACCTTGACCTGCAGCTATTGCGAGGAGTCTGAGGAGCTGTCAAGTGCAGCAGTGGGCAGAGGAAAAGGGCTGTTCATTAGAACTGACTGCTTGGATCACATGCCGTTCCAGAAAAGGGAAATTTTCCAGGCAGTTCCATCCGATTCAGCCACAATGCCAGGTGGGTTGGGGAAACGATTAAAGAAAGAAAGCAGTAATTGCTTAAATGTGCTGAGCATTTTACAGATTGCACTGTATAAATATTTTGGATATACTGTTTTCAGATGGTTGATGAATCAAAATASCTGCAAGTGAGTTTGATATGTGTCACCAGGCTTGTATACAGATAGATGTGTTAAATTGGCATTGTATGGGCAAATGCTTGGTTGGGAGAAATATACAAATGATGACAGGATATTTTAGAAAGGATCTCGGGTATTTCTGCAAGGCGTTTTYATTGAAAAAGGCTTAGCTGTGAGAGAAATGTACTCGTTTCTAARTTCAACTCTACTAACAGTTTACCACTTTCTTTGTGTGTGTGTGTGTGTGTGTCTTTTTCTCTTCCAGTGCCACCTTGGGCCTTAATAGCCATAGCCATAGTTGCAGTCCTATTAATCCTCACCTGCTGCTTTTGTCTCTGTAAGAAATGCTTGTTCAAAAAGAAGAACAAGAAGAAGGGAAAGGAGAAGGGAGGGAAGAATGCTATTAACATGAAAGATGTTAAAGATTTAGGGAAAAGCATGAAAGACCAGGTAAAGTACCTCTCCTTTTCTTGAACTTTTGGGTTGCATTTGAAGGTTTCTGTTTGATGTGTCTAGAAAAAGTTGTGCTTGTTGTCTCAGCAGTGGCTCTGTGAAGAGTGGTCTGATTGACAGCATCTTCTCAGTGGCATCACAAGGGATGAACCTGGGTGGGGCCTCACTAATGTAGCAGTCAGCCAATTTCCCTTCTCTGCTAAAAAAAAAAAAAAAAAAAAAAAGCAGGCATATAATGATTCATCCTTAAGGGGCAAGTTTATCAAGGGCTTCAAAAATGGAGCAAATGTGTGCAATATTTTGCTGCGCTTTTTTCAAGATCTAGTGCAGTGTTTGTATATCTTGTTTGTATAACGGTATTTCTGAGATTACACGATAAAGAAAAGTAGCTTTGAACTATTAATTTCTTTTTACACAGAAGTTCATCTGAGAAGGGAACAACAGTATAGAGGAAAAAATGAGAGTCAGAAACAAGGGAAAATAATGAAAAAGGAAAAACACAGGCACATTCAACACAGCGATGTTTGGAGAATTCTTTTTGTACTAGAGAGGAGGAGATTAAACATAACAGGCAATTCTTGGAGCTGTAAGTCAACTGAGTAACTTGGAGGAGGAGATTTAAATAATACCCTTTGAGAGCAGCATCATTTTCATAAGGGCAGAAAAACTTGCCCTTCAGATCTGCTTGGTGGAAGAGAAGCAGAGGTTGCAGGACTTAGTATTAAGGGCCACAGACTCAACTAATACGTTCCTGAGAGAAAATAAAGCTTATTGTTGACTGGGTTTCAGTATTGCCCTTCCTGGAGCTCACTGTTGGGAATAAGCAGCAGAATGAGGAAAAAAACATGAAGTATCCGTTTGTCCTCACAGCTCGCAGATTTCCTAAGCTAAGAAGAAAAAGGGCTACATTTTTCAAACAGGAAGGGCTGAAGAAATTTAGAGAATTGCTTTGCAAACCCTTGTAAATAGGAGCAAATAACTGTAAAGATATTGCATAGTCAAATCTGTGTTCCCAAGGCTCTTGGGGAAGTTGAGCTAGGGCAGTACAGGAGTGACTACCCAGCCAGAAAGAGAGGATAAAAGCGTGGTCAGAAGCAGGATCCAAGAAGAGAATCTTAGAGCACGGTAGCTAGAGGCCCATGGATCAGTCCAGAACAAGTGGTGAAATGCCATTGCTCAGTGATGGAGCAGCCACCACTGTGGCTCATGAGCCAGTCTTGTGAGTCCTGGAGCAGGTTAAGATGCTTCTCCAGGCATGGAGGGCATAGTAGGAGAAGAGAAAGATTGGGAAGGTGGGTGAGGAATCCTACAACTGATGATTAGCTGSAATAGATCACACGAGTGGAGTCAGAAAGAAGCTCAGCTAAAGGGAGGAAAATAATGGGTAATTTCAAAGGTGTGGAGCTGTCCAAGCTGTTACCATCCCCATTGCAAGTGGAGCACTTTAGATGCTGCACTGGCGTGCAGTTTCAGCCGTGGTTCCTCCTGGAGATGAGATGCTTTGTGTGCCGCACTGGAGTGTGTGATACCAACACTAGGCAAATTCACATGTGGAAATATCTCCTCAGTGCACAAAATCACTAATGTAGATGGAAGTATTCCAAGGTTAGAAAGATTAGTGAGACTGAGCTCAGAAAACATCAGAGCMGAAATTTTGAGTTCTCCCTTGAAGAAGATATTATGCTGGATGTTTTTTCTCCATGTGATGAATGTAAAACAAACTCCATCTCTTAAAGCACTTTGATTTAGCATTCATCCTTGTATTTGCTTTATAGACTTTGTTCTGAAGTATTAATATTAAGAAATTGTAAGATATTTCCTTCTCAGTGTATGCAAAATCAGATCATCAGTCGTTGGGTTACCCTAGGCTGCTGTTGGCTAACTCCTCCTATTAAAACAAGAATAATTTGGAAGAACTGCTTTGATTATGATGAAGGAAAAGTTTCTTGAGAACTTTGTTATGTTCTGCTAATGATAATAAACCTAATACTTCATTGTAAAATAAAAATGTGCAATTTGTTGATTTATATTTATGTGGAATTTGTTCCATATCATGTAAGGCCTTTGTTGTATTTACAATATATTATTAAGTGTTTTTAATTATATTCATTAGGACCTGGATAAATGACCATGGATTCTTGGAAAATTAGTATTTTAAATGCGAAATTGCATTATATTATTAATAATGAGTTCAATTTTTATATTTTTAATGGGAAAATTTGATAAAAAGTTGAATCCTGCATCTTTAGTCTGCATAAAGATCTCAGACTTTGAAATGTTGCACAGATAGGTATTTTAAGATTATTTCATTCAAAATACTTGGTATATTTATTTAAACCTACTTTTGCCCAGATACTTTGTGATTTAACTAGCACATTTTCTTTTGCACAGTTAAACCTAAGGAGAGTAAACTCTAAGTTGATGTAAATGTCAGACCTTCAATAAATAGATCACCAGTTCTCCAGCCCCCTCTCCTCACTGTCTGGGATTTCAAACCCAGGCTAAAAGGTTCTTCAATTAGCACCTTAAATTCATTCCTAGCAGTCTGACAGTGTAGAGATTTTAAGTCCTTGGCATTCAATAAGTTTTGCCAACTTAATTCCTAATGCAGCATTTTGGTTGTCATTTTTTTCTGTATGACGTGTTTTTTATTCTAACAGTTAGTCTTGACTTACCAGTGCAGGTTTTAATATACCTGGCTGAACTCAAGGCAATGCTAAATGTAGCATATTTCAGTTAAGAGAATTGAAGCATTTTAGAGGCTCTGGCATAAAGTAAAAACGGAAATAATAAGAATAATTTTTAACTCTTTAAAGAAGCAAATGGTTTAAAAAGTAATTGAATAGTAAAATGTAAATCTAATGCCCTTATAAAGGGCAACATACAGTACTAAACATCTGAAATGTTGTCAAAAACTGAAAAACCTCGTTCAGGTTCAAAAACCTTCAAAACCTCCTTTGTAAGGTCTGAACCTGCAAGCACTAATTACTTCTGCTTTCAGCTAAGAGTGCATAATAGCAGTTGATAGTCACTTGGCATCTTGCAGGATCCTGGTTCCCTGGGCACATGAAGTTGAAAGGAGTGCCATTTGGTAAATCAAAAGCATCAGCTCCTGGAAATATAATTTTGATCTTAGTTTAGATTCTTTCGTTCAAGAGAACATCTGACCTATTTTTATTCATGCTGACCTGCTCATCCATGCCAAATCATTATAGAGCCATGGAACCTGACGTAGTTGAAGATCCTTTTGGCATAAAGTCCCAGTCAGCTCAAAAGTCACACATGATAGCTAGATATTACAGAAAGGGGAATACAGTTTTTGTCTCTACAGTTAAAATATTTGTGCTTCAAAGTGCCCACTTCCCTGAACACAATTTCAGATGAGAGATTGTCTTTATATGAAGGTTATCCAAAAATGTAGCTGAGGTAGAATGGGCGATGAGTTGAAAATAAAGTTAGGTTTTCAGTCTTGAGACCCATTTCCATTACAGGCAGGGCTTACTTTGTCAAGTCGAGTTTACAGCCCCACCAAGGGCCATTGGGAGGATTAGATTCCTTCTAGGGAAGGCAAAATTTTTAATGAATGTACAGCTGTAAAAAAGGTCATTTCTCCGTGTTTTTTACTAATGTTTGTGTGTGGTTGTTTTAATTTTTATTTCTTCCTCCTATGTCCTCCTTGTCTATGTTGTGTCTCATGACTGTTCTGGATTGTCACTTGCGGTAGGTTTATTTTGCTATTTGGACGCACCTAGAATTAAGCTCTCATGCATAGTCTCCTGACAGCTCTGTCTCCTTAGCAGAGATGGACATGTAGTAGCTTTGATACACACATCAAGAGGCTGAACTAAATTGATTGGGTATTTCTTGCTTGTATATATATTTGGGGGGAGGCTGGAGGAGGGTGGAAGAAAAGAAGTTGTCATTCTTTCTGTAGTTAAAATATTAAGTCAAACTGTACCAGAAAGCTCAAGTTTAAAATTGACTGACACATAAAAATAACTTGCTAATTTTATTTCCTTTTTATATAAATGTCATCATATCAAAAGTAGACAAAAGCAATGTGTATTTTTAATGTCTTAGTTTCTAAGTGTTGCTAAAATGACTGCTACATGAAACTTGCTGTGGGCTCTCACATCATCTCTGTACAGGGCTCAGGCATTAAATTCTTAGTGTTCCATACCAAACCCTTTTAAGTGGTCTTACTAGAGATTTCTGCTGGTCCAATCTAGTGACAACTGGCACCAGTGTTTTTGTGAGATCTTCCCATCACAGTATTCATCTTTATAACTTTTGGTCTCTAGCAATGCACCAATGGCTCCCACTACCTTTTTTTCTTTGAGGGGAAAAAAATACCCTGAATACCCAGCTTCAGAGACCTGTAATAGCTTCAGATTTATTAAGTCTGAATTTAATGCATTGGTACAGCAAAATTCTTGATTAAGCTCAGCCTGTGGGCTAAGAAAAGGAATAGACATAATCATTTCAGTCATGAACAGTGACACTGAGAACTTACTAAAATTTAGCCCTATTGCTTGGAGAATAATTGTTGTGGTCTGAACATTTTATTAGGTCACAAAGCATTTGTGGAAAACGAGATTAATAGTTCAGCCCTTTCTCATTGTATCAGGCCAAAACTAGTGAAGGATTTTTGGCTTAAAATGAGAGTAAGTCTTAGGTGAAATAGGGGATTTGGTATTGGGTATACGTACTACAGTATGAGTAGTATATTCTTGGCTCTGCTACTGACTTACGGTGGCCTTCAGTCAGCCACCTCTCTTCTCTGTATGTTTGTTTTTCCTTTGGATAGGCTGTCCTTTTACATTGGGGTTATGTACTAATTTAATCAGAATATTCTGATTATTGTTCCTCTCTGAATAGCGAGTGAGGGCTGCAGCTGCACTTTAACATATAAGGGTTTTCTTAGRCTAATTCACCTTAGGATTCTAGCTGTTGATCAGCAAACACCCTTGCCCTCAGGTAGACAAAATACTGAAGGA